TAGTCGTCCTCGTCGTAGTAGTGAGTCGCAGTAGCAGTAGCAGTAGCAGTAGCAGTAGCAGTAGCAGTAGCAGTAGTAGTAGTAGTAGTAGTAGTAGTAGTAGTAGTAAGTAGCAAGTAAGTAGTAAGTGGTAAGTAGTAGCAGTAGCAGGAGTAGTAGTAGTCGTCGTCGTAGTCGTCGTCGTCGTCGTAGGAGTAGGAGTAGGAGTAGGAGTAGGAGCTGGAGCAGCAGCAGCAGCAGCATCACCAGCAGTTGTGGACATAGTCTACACCTGGCTTGTTTTGCTAGCATAGCAGCTAAAGCTCAGAGTAATTATAGCAATACAATACGGCAGCATGACTGCTACGCAAAAATGCACTGCAAAGCAAACCCTAAACCCTAAACTGCAAAAATAACAAAAACGCAAGCATCCTACCTCGAGAGCCGGGAAGCGGTTGTCCTGCATGAACTCGAAGCCTTCGAGTGGAAAGCTTTCGGTTGGCTTTTTATAGGGTTTAAAGTGTAGGGTTTAGGGGTTTAGGGGTTTAGGGCTTACAGTTCAGGGTTTAGGGTTCTGGTTCCTTGAGACCTCAGGCTAAGGGCTCAAGAAGCTGGGTCTTGGGATGCAGCAGCTTCTAAATGGAGGCCTTCATATCCAAAAACAGGGTTTGGGGGTTTAGGGTTTAGGGTTCAGGGTTTGGGGGGGATATATTGCACTATAATCTGCAGAGGCTTCGGCGTCTGGATTTAGTCTCTTCCCATCCTCTCAACTCTCCTTCCCAGGCTTTTTGGTGGCGACTTGGATACAAGCAGTTGTTAACATCCCTAAACCCTTAACCCTATCTCTGCAAGAGTGCAGAGCCCCCCAACTGAAAGAACGACACCAAAACAACACTAAATCAAGCCCTAACCCAAAGCCCTACGCCCTAACCCAAGTCAAAATAAAGCTCTTCGTCGGCCCAGCAACCGACTGCAGTTTCCGGCGTCTCGCTAGCGCTGCGCAGGAAACGCTGGAGCGCCTCCGATGAAAGCCGGGTTTAGGGTCTAGGGATTTAGGGTTTAGGGCCAAAGTTTAGGGTTTAGGGTGGATGTTCAGGGGACGCTTTCTCACAAAGTTGACTGGTCATGCTTTGTGGCTCAGGGTCTTGGAGGTTCGTCATTACCATAAGGGTTCAAAGGATCCAGTGATCAGGTACTTGGGTGGTTTAGGGCTTTAGGGTTTAGGGTTTAGGACTTTAGGGTTTAGGGTTTAGGGGATTAGTTGTTTTGTAGGCTGGTATTTGGAGAGTTTATGATTAATGACGAGCCACTTGGACCCTTCGGGCCAGGATGGGGAGGCAGCTCAAGACCTCTGCGCCCCTACATGCAGAGATAAGAAAGTGCCACCCAAAAAACTCCAAACAGCAACAGCCTCAGCGCCAAACCCTAAACCCTAAACCCGAAACCAAACTTCGCGAAATCGCTCCTGAGCACAAAACCGGGCTAGTTGTCCCGAGGGCCAGGCTCAACGCTGGTGCCTAAAGAATTAGAATAGGGTTTAGGGTTTAGGGTTTTGGGTTTAGGGGTTTAGGGGTTTAGGGTTTAGGGTTTAGGGTGATGTAGGATGATATTGTGATCGACGATGATAATAAGCAACCCTATGGACTGCGATTTCTACTTGCTCCGGCGCCTACATCAAGTCCCCTCAAACTGCAAAATCAGAGGCGCGGGTTGCTGTATGAGAGGCGGCTCAGGGCTTTCAGCCGCTGTAGGCTTAGGGATTTAGGTTTATTTAGGGTTAGGGATTTGGGCTTCGGGGTTTAGGGATTTGGGCTTCGGGGTTTAGGGTGCAGAAACGTGGAATTTGAGAGTTGAGCTTAAGTAGGGTTTTAGGGTTTGAATGGCTTTCATAGAGCCTTGGGGGTTCAATGTAAGGGCCTTAATAATTAGAATAGGGTTTTGGGCTCCTTTATAGTATGTTTTGAATAAGGAGCCCTAACAGTAATATCGGTAATTATTTGGGCTTCTATGTTAGGCTGGGTTCTTGTTAAGGGATTTAATTTAAGCTACCATAATAGGGAAACCATATTATTTGCAATAGATCCCTATTGTAAATCCCTTAACAAGAACCCAGTAGAGGTATTGCGGAGTTCGACCTCGGCGTCCCGCGGATTGTCCACGCAGTTCGTGCCGAGGACGTACAGAACATCAAGGTCAAGATCCTCATAGAGTGTATATTAGGGTTTAGGGTTTGGGGTTTAGGGTTTAGGGTTTAGGGTTTAGGGTTTAGGGTTTAGGGTTTAGGGTTCAGGGAAGTTCAGGGTTTAGGGTTTAGAGTTTAGGGTAGTAGAAGCCCAAAAGTTGAAAACCC